GATGGCTTGAGGCTCTGTCTCAAAAACAAAAACAAAAAACTAGCTAATGATGAGAGCAGGAAAAATAGTGGTTCCTTATGAAGGATGGTTGGTTACAAACTAAGAAGACAATGTTTTGGGGTATTAGAAATGTTCTAGGCTGGGCGGGGTGGCTCAGGCCTATAATCCTAGCACTCTGGAAGGCTGAGGCAGGTGGATTGCTTGAGCTCATGAGTTCGAGACTAGCCAGAGCAAAAAGCAAGACCCTGTCTCTACTAAAAATAGAAAAACTGATGGTGGCACCTGTAGCTCCATGGTTAGGGTGCTGGCCACATACACCTAGGCTGGCAGGTTCGAATCCAGCCCAGGCCAGCTAAACCACAATGACAACTGCAACAACAAAAAAAATAGCTGAGCGTTGTGGCAGGTGCCTGTAGTTCCAGTTACTTGGGAGGCTGAGACAAAAAAAGAATCACTTAAGCCCAAGAGTTTTAGGTTGCTGTGGGCTGTGATGCCACAGTACTCTACTGAAGGCTACATAATGAGACTCTGTCTCAAAAAAGGAAAAACTGAGGCAAGAGGATCGCTTAAGCCTGAGGAGGAGGCTGCTGTGAGCTATGACGCCACAACACTCTACCCAGGGCAACAGCTTGAGACTGGAAGAAATAATCTCTAGCTGTTCCTCTTGTGACCAGGAACTCTGGTCTGGCATGAGTGTTCTGGCCAGCTGCACAGTACCAATTAATTAGCCAAAGAGAGCTACTCTCTGCTCTTCAATAAGCTTTATATGTTCTGTGGTCACTGCCACCAACCACCGCTTTTATTAGATCTGGGCTTAATTACCACATTGCTGTGCTGCCATCACTGTCTCCTGATGACTTTACCTTGACTCCTGGAAGGATGAGGTAGTGACAGTGTGTCAGGAGGAGAGGTGAGCCTAAAGAAGCCCAAAGCAAAGTCTGTGGACACTGATGATTTGGGGAGATGTGAGGTGGGTGGGTGAAGAGAGCAGCTGTAGGACTCAGCCATCTCCAGGATCTCAGGAATGTTGGAGAATGGAGACCTAGAACCTAGTAGATGCCTCATGGCAGTGGGGGTAAAGCCTCCAAATGAAAGGCATATACAAACTCCTTTAAAACCAGAGGCATCGGGGAAGCTGCATGTGTTAAAAATAGGATTAGACAGCCCACCAGGCATGGCAGAGGACTCAGCAGTTCCCTAGTGGAGGGAACAATGAGACCCAATGCATTCTGAGAATGGTGAGGCGGTACAGGGAGCTAGGCACAGGGCAGGGTAGAGGAGGGGAATTCTAACACTCCTGCTGGGGAAGGGGCTGGTTGAGGAGGACCTTGAATGTCAGGCTAAGAAGTTAAGACCTCCTTCAGTAGGCAGTAGAGAGCATTTGAAAGTTCTGAGCCGTCCGAATGATCCAAGTTTCTTATGGAAGTTTATAGGACTCTTGAGGATGTAGCCCTGCCTGCCTCCCCAGGTATCTCTCCCTCCATTCTGTCCCCGGCACCCTGCTCCAGCCAGCACTGAACTTACTACACTGTGTCAGAAACATTCTGCAGTTTTGTTTGTTTGTTTTTTGGCTGGGGCTGGGTTTGAACCCTCCACCTCTGGCATATGGGGCCTGCGCCCTACTCCTTTAAGCCACAGGCGCCGCCCCCAGAAACATTCTGTAAACAGCTCCCAGAACAAAATTGCCTTTTTGCAGTTCTCTTATATTTCAAGTTCTCAGGCCAGTAAGATTTGTTGAACAGAACTTTGTAATTTTCTGTTCCATGGATCCTCTCCCTTTTGAGCTGTTTTTCAGGAACAGTGGGCCCTCCTTGCAGTTCATGAGATAATCACAGGGCTTTACACTACCTGATTGTCCAGAGAGTAAAGATGAGTGGAATTCTACAACCAGTCTTGCCCAAGGACCAGCTGAGCAACCTACTCCCCACAACCTATATGTGGACAAGAGGGCAGGGTGACCAGTATTAACTCATAGCTTATTATACTACTAAAATCTCCGCCCTGGGAGGGGCTTGTCCACCATTTTTTGCTCATGCAATGTATGTGCTAGTATGATTTCTCACTGTGCTTGCGTGTCTTGTACTCCACCCCACATATGTAAGCAGGCATTGTTCATTTCACCTCTAATGAAACTCCCGATTCGCAGAGGCAGGTGGATTTGAGGTAGTCCTCTCACCTCTTGGTTGATTTCCTGCACAATAAATCTTTCTTCCTAGACAATCCTTATTGTCTCAGTAATTGGCTTTCTATGCAGCAAACAACAGAGAAACCCTCCCTTGCGGGTTCATTAACAATTCTTACTCTCCGTACTCCTAAGTTGTTCTTTCAGGTCTCAATTTTAACATTCTTCCTCTAAGAAGCCTTGCTGACATTGCCCCCCTTTCCGCTTGCTGACATTGCCCTCTTTCCCCTAAGCCTGGACAGATGTCCCTTTGCAAGGCTCCAATGCTTGCTATGTCTCCCACACACGATCACGTATTAGTGTAATGTAATTATTTAGTTGTCTGAATTCTCTGCTAAACTGTGAATCCTGTTGAGGTTAGGGCGGGTACCTTTTTCATCATTGTCGCTAAGAACCGGCATAAGCAGCATGGTGGGGGTAATGCGGGTGGTAAGGGATGCGGGTCAGCTGACCTGTCGGGTTCCTCCCAGTTCTCGGCTGAGTCTTTTGAAAAAGACAATGGAAAATCACAGGTGTCAACAAGTGCAAGCTGGTAGGAAATGGGCCCTTCATGTGAACGGTCAGTCTCATAGTTTCACAGGAAACGAAGTGTGGTGGAACCCAAAACAAGATTAAACCTCCTCTCCATCTCCCTCAGAATAAAATGAAACCATTGCTCTTTCTAGGCACGCCCCAGAACTATTTGAGGACGGTGAGGCGGAGGATTACAAACGAGACTAACCAGTAACCCTCCGCTCCACACCCGTAATCGTGGCGGTTCCGCTTCAAGCCACCAGGGGGAGGAATCGCACCGCATTCCTGCGCCTTGGGCGGTTTGTCTAGCAACGCTATGGGGCGCATAGAACTCCGGGAATTGTAGTTCTAGGGTTGTCATGCCATCTCGCACTGTGCACCTTGGGAGTTGTGGTTTTGGACAGAAACTCGAGAAATGCTTTAAAGTACTCACGTGGAGCCCTGGAAACTACAACTACCAAGGGGCTACGGGTTCCTGGGCAGTTTTCTCCTTTCCGTCTAGTTAAACGTCTGGGGTTGATTCTGAGAGATCAACTTGACTGGGTAAGTTTGATCGGAGAACGCTCCTGTCCTCAACCGAGTTGTCTGCAGACTTTTTCGCATTTCGGCTCAGTTTGGCGCCTCTTCGTCTCTCAATCGCAGAACCTGCACATTAATCTCCGTCCTTTTCTGTTTCCTATGGAGACACCTCCAATATCCACTCACACCTTTAACCCTCCCACTATCGCTTCGCGCGTTCACACTCTGAACTCGCTCCCCTATCCGTGAGTTCTCGTCTCGGGACTCAGACTCCTCAACCCCGTCCCAAGCCCGCAGCCCAATGTGGACTCCTCAGCCTTAACCTGATCTCTCTGCCCCACCCTGACCCTGCAGCCTCACCTCTCTGAAACTGGGCTTCCTTATGTTTCTCCGCACCTTGCGTGCTTACTCTTGTTTTCCACGCCGGTGAAGGAAGGCTCTCCATTCCTTCTTCCGGATCCACAGAAGAGCCGTGGACATGAAGTCAGCAGACCCCGTTCTAGTCCAGCTCTGCCTCTCACTGTCCGTGACCTTGGCAAATCATGCAACTCTGGGACTCACTCTCTTGTCTCTACAATGGAGAGGACACTTGCTCTGTCAGTCTTAGGGTGAGGTTGTGTGCAGGACTAAGGAGCTAGTATGAAGGAAGGTCCTTTGTAAACTGTAAAGCCTCTCCATGCGACAGAGTTGATTTTTATTACAATTATTAATATTCTGGAACGTTTATCAGGGCTCTTTTTTCTGCTGCCTTGTTGCTCAAACCTATCCCTTGAGTGCTTGGTGTCTTCGTTCTCTTAAGAGCAGGGCGATACTTCCTCGCTTCCTCCCGAGAACAAAGGTCAGACCAGTGTGCTCTTAGTCTCCAGAGAGCTTTGTCTGAAAGCACCAAGTAGTGCTTATCTTGGACTCTGTCCTGAAATATCCAGCGAAGAGAGGCCCATACAGCTGGCAGAGGGGCGGTCCCCTGCTCACTAGAAACAGAACCCCAGCAGGAGAGGACAGCTGCAGTGTAAGCCCCATCCATTCCCTCTGGACTCTTCTGGGCCTGTTGCGTAGACTCTGGCTTTGGTAGGGACGTCTGAAGCCTGACAAAGCTGGAAGGAAAGAATCCCCAAATGAAAGAGAGCTTGGCTGAGTATGATGAAAAACAGACCTAGCATTGTTAATTAGTTCCAAACATTTTACTAGCACTGAACATGTACCAGGCCCCAGGCAATATCAATTTTCTTATTTAAATTTCACTTATGAAGTGTCCCCATTTTACACATAAGGAACTTAGATTCCGAAAGGTCATGTAGTTAGTTAAAATAGTAGTTATAGCTACCTTCTGTGCTTCCGGTGCTTTGCATACATTATCTAATCTGCATCAGCAACCTCATGAGTGGTTATGTCTATCATGTGGACAAATTATCAGAGGTTTAGAGTTTAAGGAACTTGCCCAAGTCACACAGCTAACAAGTGGCAGAGTCACTAAAGCCTTTCTTTTCCCACTATAACGTAACTATTTTTAGGTCAGGAATACAGAGATTAAATACAAATGTAGATGGTCTAAATTAAAGCCAAGTGAAGGAGCGCTTACTGAGTTTCTACTATGTGGGAAAGGTGTGTGAATGGATGGTTTAGCCTACAAAGAAGGATAAATGAAAACATAATCTTGACCACTGGAGTATATCTGAAGAGATAAGGCATCAATGTGCGGGAAAGTAAATAGTATTCATGGGATGAATTAATTATTGAGACCAGCTTTATACTGGGTCCCCCATTAGGTCTAGTAACTGGGGATTATACTAAGTGAAATCATAATGAAAATGGTGTGCAGGCTCGGCACCTGTGGCTCAAGTGGCTAAGGCGCCAGCCATATACACCTAAGGTGGCGGGTTCGAATCCAGCCCTGGCCCACCAAACAACAATGACGGCTGCAACCAAAAAATAGTCAGGCGTTGTGGCAGGCGCCTGTAGTCCCAGCGTCCCAGCAACTTGGGAGGCGGAGGCAGGAGACTCGCTTGAGCCCAGGAGTTGGAGGTTGCTGTGAGCTGTGATGCCATGGCACTCTACCCAGGGGGACAGCTTGAGGCTGTGTCTCAAAAAAAAAAAGAAAATGGTGTGCCAGAACACAGTATACACTCAGTTAAGTGTTACATGCACACATTGTCTTGGTACCATGTGGATCAGAGGTTCTCAACCTTGCTGATCAGAAACACCTTAGAAGCTTTAAAAAACTAACTGCCGGGTGATACCTGTGGCTCAAAGGGGTAGGGCACCAGCCCCATATGCTGGAGGTGGTGGGTTCAAACCCAGCCCCGGCCAAAAAAAAAAAACACAACAACAAACAGACCTCTGGGAATGAGGGCTCTAAAATACAAAGTTTCGAAAAGTTCCCCAGGTAATCCTGTTGATAGGTTCAGGAACCTCTGACCTAGATTCTCCATGGCGCACTGTTGCAGGCAAGTCACTTATTGAAAAATTCTAGAATAGGTACTAATGCAAGAGCTCCCTAAGGCAGCCTGTGATTAGTTACCAGAAGAGGGATATGGACCGTGCACAAAAGTGGAAGGTTGGAAGGATGTGGGAAAGCTTCTCTGAGGACTATAGATTTCACTGGCCTTGCTGAATGGAGAGGCTTCTGGATAGGCAAGGTGAACAGAAGATAAGACATGTGGACTGATTTCCTTGGAAAATTCCATGGAATTTTCCATTAGACATGGTTCTGGATGCTCTGTGTGGATGCCTCGTAGGCAGAATTTGCAAGTCAGATTGTATTTTCCCATTTTTCTGTCCTACTTGGACATCAATCAATGTGAGCTGAGGGAACACAGATTCATTTTCATGTTAGCCTCACTGTGGCCGATTGCTTCTTTGGTTTTTATTTATGTCTAAACAGAATTTAGTTGATGAACCTTCCAGAAACTTGCCAGGGGCACTAGAGAGTTCTGCTCCCCTCTCTTTGGCTGTCCACGTATCCTGATTGCTATCCCAAGCTCTGTTCTCTGTGCAGGGTGACACAAAAATCTCTTCCCATGAGAAGCCTAAGGGCTATTGTCCTGGTTACCCAGTCCTGAAACCTGACTCATCTTTGGCTTTTTTCTCTCTCAACTCTCCACATCCACTCAGTTGTCAAATCCTCCTCAGTGGTTTCTGTTTTTCTCTCCAACCACAAATATTTCTTGGATTCTTCCTAAGAGCCTGATACGGCACCAGGTACCTTAAATGAGTTCTTTTACTTTATCTCCATAAGAATCCTATGAAGATGGATAGTACCCCACTGTACAGATGGGGAATTAGGCTTAGAGAGATCAGATAACTTGCCTGAGGTAAGAAAGCTAGGCAGCAAAGGAGCTGGGCCTCAAGCATGGCTCTTTTAGAGTTCGTATTTCTTTCTTTCTTTTCTTTTTTTTTTAAACATCTTTATTTTTTTGCAGTTTTTTTTTTTTTTTGGCTGGGGCCAGGTTTGAACCCCCCCATTTGTGGTATATGGGGCCAGCACTCTACTCCTTGAGCCACAGGTGCCACCCTTTTTTTTTCTTTTTTGAGGCAGAGTCTCACTATGTTGCCCTCAGTAGAGTGACGTGGTGTCACAGTTCACTGCAGCCTCCAGCTCCTGAGCTCAAGTGATCCTCTTGTCTCGGCCTCCCAAGTAGCTATGACGACAAGCACCCGCCACAACTCCCAGCTAGTTTTTAGAGACAGGGTCTCTCTCTCTTGCTCAGGCTGGTCTCAAACTCCTGACCTCCAGCAATCCACCTGTCTCAGCCTCCCAGAGTGCTAGGATTATAGGCATGAACCACCGCACCCGGCCAGACTTAATATTTCTTATGTCCATGACCTCATTTCCACAGTCGATTCCAACTCTTTAGCCTACCCCCTTGAGGGGCTGCCACCCTCCAAATCTGGTCACAACTTTCTTTTCTCACCTTGCAATCCTGTTTCCACGTGTGCTTTCTTGTTGCTGATTTAGCGGATGAACCTAAAGATAACCTCTGTGTGAATGCCTCGTAGGCGGAATTTGCAAGTCAGATTGTATGTCATATGTCACTTAATGTCATATGTCCACTCTTTATCCAAATACTGACCGGCAGATGACCAGGTGAACCTACTACCTGATGAGTAGTCTTGGCTCACTACTCTCTTCTGCTGGCATGCCTATCAGCCTTTGTCCTCTTCCCCTGCCATTACCCTCAAGCTAAAGGAACTATGCTCTTTCTTCTCAAAACTCCGGTGGTATTTTGTCTGCTTCTCTCTTATGATAGTTAGAACTTGCAGCTGCTTCGTTGTCCTGTGGGTGACATGAGTCTTGTGACCCGAACCGTAGTCTTCAGTGTGTATGCCCTAGGAGCAAGGGGGAGCAGGTCAGGTCTGAGACCCAGCACTCCTCTAGCTCTGCTGTGGCCCAACAATCCACTGACTTCATCAGCTTAGCTGCTGCTGCTGCTGCTGCTTCTTTTCTTTTACTTAATAGCTTCTTTTTTTAAAAAAAAAAAGTGGGTTGGTTTTTCAGTTTTGGTTTAGAGAAATGAAATGAAGAAGTTAAGTCTGTACTAAAAAGAAAATCATTTATTATCTTCTAAACTTAAATAGACTGACGTTGTGATGGTGATTTTTTTCGTTGGACCAGACAACTGGCAATCAAGAGGTCTGTGTGGGCGGCGCCTGTGGCTCGGTGGGTAGGCCCTCTATACCAAGGGTGGCGGGTTCAAACCTGGCCCCGGCCAAACTGCAACAACAACAACAACAACAACAACAAAAAAGTAGATGGGCCAAGGACTCCCTGTATCCCATTAGACACTTTCAGTTGCAAGCAAGAGAAATCTAAATTCAGTCAGTTTAGATAAGAAAGGGAATTTATTGACTCATGTAACTAGAAAATCTAGGAGTGGGTCAGGTTTCTGCTATGGCCTTATCCAGAGAGTCTTAATGTCTTCAAGAATGTGATTCCATTTTTCTGTGATTCTCCCAGCTCTGTTATCCACCAGGGGTAGCTTCATCCTCAAGGTGGCAAAGTTCAAGGCGCCATTCAAAGCCACTTGACAGGTGATATCTACACATCACACTAGTTCAAAACAAGAGAGGACTTTTCTTTTTCTCAACCATTGAATCAAGGTTCTGGGTTTTACTCTGATGGGACCAACTTAATGTCATATGTCCACTCTTTATCCAAATATCGACCAGCAGATAACCAGGACTGATGGACTCAGGTTAATTAAGGCCTAATTTTAGAGGTTATGGAGAGGTCAGCCCCACTCAAATCTCAAGGCAGTGGATCCCAGGAAGTGTGACCATATTCTCCAATTATAGTCACATTGCCAATGATCAAATTCTGGCTCTGCTTGCTGCTGCTTGGGTAAATTAATTAACTGTATCAAGCATCAGTTTCCTCATCGTTATTTTATTTTATTTTTTTATTTTTTTGTAGAGACAGAGTCTCCCTTTATCACCCTCGGTACAGTGCCATGGAGTCACACAGCTCACAGCATCCTCCAACTCCTGGGCTTAGGCAATTCTCTTGCCTCAGCCTCCCAAGTAGCTGGGACTACAGGTGCCACCCCACAATGCCCAGCTAATCCTTTTGTTGCAATTTGGCCAGGGCCAGGTTTGAACCCACCACCCTTGGCATATGGAGCTGGCACCCTACCCACTGAGCCACAGGTGCCACCCTTTCTCGTCTTTAAAATGAAATAATAATACATATTTCTGGCTCGATGCCTGTGGCTCAAGCAGCTGGGCACCAGCCACATACACCTGAGCTGGCGGGTTTGAATCCAGCCCGGGCCTGCTAAACAACAATGATAGCTGCAACCAAAAATAGCTGGGCGTTGTGCC